AAATATATATATATATATATATACAGCGATACCTCGCATAATCTGGTTAATCAATTCCGCCAATATCCCGGATTGTTTGAAACTGGACTAATTGAGGAACTAAATACATACAAAAAATGTTAATTGGTTCCAAAAAAAAATCCGTTTTCAATAAATAAAACGCAGTTAATAAATTCAAATGTCTTTATTAGAAATAATTTTAAAAAAATCATGTTTTTCGCAATTCATTTTTTATTCTCTAAAAATTGTAATATTGATGTCTGCACATTTTTCTTCTTTTGCCTTTTCTCTTCATACATTTCTTTGTAGCAACGAAATGCATTGTTTATCGTTTGGCGAATTGTAAGGCTACATTCAATATTGGGGTCAACTTCCATAATATGCTCTGACAAGGTTACAACCATTTCAATAATTTTTTATAGTTGTTCAGCTCTTAATTCTCATGCAGCCATGTCAACACAATCGTCGTTGTCTAAGTTGTCCTCCCTTTCTTCATAAGCCTGTTGTGCATCAATGTTTTTTTATTGCTAGTGGGGTGGGACTAAGTTCCTTGTACTGCGGCCACTTATGGCCTGTTGTACCATCCCCAGATGATAGGTGAGGGTGATTGTGGAGCAATTGGTGGAATGAAAATTGGCAGGGGAAACCGAAGTACTCGGAGAAAACCTGCCCCAGCACCACTTTATCCACCACAAATCCCACTTGTCCAGACACAGGATCAAACCTGTGCTGCCACGGTGGGAAGCCAGCGACTAACCACTTGAGCTATAGTGTGGCCCTTCATCTATGTTAATAAGTGTTTCATTATCTAGTTCTTTAGTGTTCAATTTGATGCAATCTTATGTTGATGGAATCTAATTAATTGAAACCAAGTTGCTGTCCAGTTTCCACTGTGTTATTAATGACTTCAGCAAAATGAGTTTCAAAACCGATGAAATTATTTGCACAATGTGGTATGATATTGTAACGTGTCTGGAATCCAGAAGTGTCACTTCTATGGAAACGCTAGGATAGACCGTTGCATAGGAAACAACAATTGCTCCATTGTAGTTCTAACAGGAGTCTCCATGGTTATAACAAAGGGTTCGTTGCATAACAGCGGCCGAGGTTATAAAAGCCCAGTTTCGACGAGAAGTCTTCAGTCTCGGAATAGCCATCTAAGAAGCCAGTCGTTAGCAAGCCTTCGGAGTGGAGTCAGTCTCGGAAACCGCCAGAGAGGACAGTCCAGCATCGCCGAGATATTGTGAGCAGTAATTGTACCACTGCAAGTGTAAATGATTGTAAAGTGTGTGTAAGGCGAGCGAACGTAATAAACTCACTATACCAAAGAATGGCGTGAACTTATTTGTAGTGTGACACACGAAACACGCTACATTGGTGTCAGAAGTGCCATACTGCCCTCATATTGCTTGCTGTTAATTCATGCAATGCTTCTTCGCCTGTATTTCGATAATGTCTCTAATGATGTAGCTCTTCCAAAATTCCGTTAAAGTAGTGCTCTCCCCACCTCCTCCAGCGATAGCTTTCAGAGCTGAAGAATGAATGACCCGAGCATAGGTACATACATATACAATGGGGAACCCCAGAAAAAATTCAAATATATATCATATTGCATAACTTTAAAACCACATAAAAATAAACCGCACAAAAAGAGACTTGACTGCATAAAGGGAAAAAACCGATCATTCAATTCAATTCTTTGTTATTTATATGCCAATCATCAGCCGCAAGGCCAATTACAGACTTAGCACAGTGTAGATGAAAGTGTACTAAAAATAATTTTGTGTACTAATTTTTTAGAATTTATTTTTATTTTACTCAGTTAAAATTAAGTTCGTGTTGAAATTTTCAAACCAGACTACAGTGAATCTGGACTGATCGAAGCCAGACTATGCGAGGTATTGCTGTATATACAGAAAGTAAAGTAAAGGTATCCCTGTAACAGGCTGTGGAGGCCCATAGGGTTGTGAGATGTTGAGGTTCCCACATTTTCTAGACAGTCAGCTCATAGATGGCGGTAAGGTTGTCAGCCTTATGCACCGGCTGCCCTTTACCCCCAAGAATATTCCTGGTACTCATTTCTGTTAGAGGCTGAGTCGATCCCGGGGCCATAGTGCGGCTGGAAGGATTGGGTAAATTGAAAAAATCGAATGACCTCATCAGGATTTGATCCTGCGACCTTCGGGCTTGTAGCATAGTGCCACAATCAGCTATGCTACCGTGTGCCCC